TGCACTCATCCATCATGCACTCACGGGCGGTGATTTCCTCTTCAATGAGTTCAGCCCGCGGGCCTATGCCAGGGGGACCCACTTTGAAGCTGATGGGCATCATGGGCACCTGCTGTAGCATCACGCCCAGAATGCCCAAATCCACCACCATGCTGTACGGCACGTGTGGGTCGAGAGGGACGGGTAGCGGTGGTGGGAGAGTGGGGGCAAGGAGAGGGCGAGAGGAGAGCATCATGGGTGGGCACCTGCTGTAGCATCATTGCCCAGATCCACCACTATGCTGCATGCACGTTACATTACATGGGAGGGCAAGGATAGGGGCGAACGAGGGGAGGGGAGAAGGGGAGAGGAAAAGTGGAGGCTGAGAGTTGCTGTAGAGGTGAGACGTGGGAGGGGTTGCATTGGCACCAGTTGTTGCAGTATCACTCCCCAAATGCCCAGATATACCACCATGCTGCACGGTTGGGGGAAAGGGGTTGAAGTGGAAAAAGGGGGGAACGGGGAGGGGAGAGAAGGGGAGAGGAGAGGTGGAAGCTGAGAGAAAATGGGAATCATGCGCACCACCTGCTGTAGCATCACTCCGAGAATGCCCAAATCCACCACAATGCTGCTTACATGTTGCATGGGAGGGAAGGAGGGGGGGCGGAGGCAGGAAGCAAGAGGTAGAAGCTGAGAGCTGGTGGCATATCATGGGCATGGGCTGTCTGAATGTCGATGTTTGCCTAGCCTGCAGTGGGGTACTCTATAGCGAGTACAACCCAATTAGGGTTTCTTATATGTATCTCAACTGCTGCTAGTGAAAACCCCTCTTTCCTGTTTCTCGTTTTCGCCTGCTGTTTCGACATGCTATCGAGCAGGTCGACCCTCCTTGGTCGATCCTGTGGATGGGCCCGCCACCTAATGCTTCCGCTGCTGTCCTGCCTATCGCGCGACGTGTTCTGCTTGCCGCGCGCTCGGGTGCACGGCGTATTTTTCATCCCGCCGCGCGCTCGGGGCGCGCGGCGGTTTTCTGCCCGCCGTGCGCCCCGAGGCGCGCGGCGGTTTTCTGCCCCGTCGATCCGCGCATTGCCCCCCGTTGCCCGTCGCAGCGCCCCCGGGGATTCGCGCGTCGCCCCCCGTCGCCCGTAGCAGCCCGCGCGACCTGCGCCAGGCCCGCGCGCGGTCCGTACGGCCTGCGCCAGGCCCGCGCGCGGCTCGTACGGGCTGCGCCAGGCCCGCGCGCGGCCCGTACGGCCTGCGCCAGGCCCGCATGAGGCCCGTACGGGCTACGCCAGGCCCGCGCGCGGCTCGAGCAGCCCGCACGCGGTTCGTCCGGCCTGCGCCAGGCCCGTGAGCGGCCCGTACCGTCTGCCCCAGTGCCGCACGCCGTCCCTCGAGCTTCTGACTACACTCCTGTGTTAGGGTTTGGGGGTGGAGAGTATGGGGGTGCCGTGTGTGTGAGCCGTCCCCTGTTCCTCCTCCTCCTCCGTCTCCCACTGCTGCAGCTGCCGCTGAGCGGGGTGGATGTGTTGGAGCCGTCGGAGTGGTACGAGGGGGTGGCGTGCGAGCGGTGCTAGTGGTTTAGCAGGCGGTGTGTGAAGGGGGTGTGGGACAGTTGGGGGAGGTTGACCGGAGGTAGCCGACTTGTTGTCCGCAGCGCCTGAAGTCCAGAGAGCCACGACCCCCTGTGGCCGTGTAGTCCGAGGCTCTGCGCCCGGTAACCACAGTGTGAGCACTCCTGGTAGTCCAGAGAGCCACGACCCCCTGTGGCCGTATAGTCCGGGGCTCTGCGCCCGGTAGCCACAGTGTGAGCACTCCTGGGAGCACAGTGAGCCAGCTGCGCCTGTCGCCGTGTAGCCCGGGTTTAGCCTGGTAGCGTCAGTGCTGCGCGCTCCTGTTGCCCGTGTGTCTGCAGCTTCAGCCGTCGTCTCTCATCTTCTCGTCCTCCATAGTTTCACCTCCTCCTCCTCACTTGCCCTCTGTGATAGCCTCTAGCTTTGCTTATCCTGAACTATTGCTCTGCCTGCTTGTTGTGTTGACTGTACCCCACTATGGGGGTGTGTCAGAATGTCGATGTTTGTCTAGCCTGTAGTGGGGTACTCTGTATCGAGTACAACCCAATTAGGGTTCCTTATATGTATCTCAACTGCTGCTAGTGAAAACCCCTCTTTCCTGTTTCTCGTTTTCGCCTGCTGTTTCGACATGGGCACCTGCTGTAGCATCACTCCCAGAATGCCAAGACCCACCACCATGCTGCACGTTGCATGGGAGGGAGGGGTACACGTGGCGGGAGCGAGGAAGGCAGGACGAAGGAGGTACAAGCTGGTCTGATGGTAGCACACAGACGGCAGGGGTGGCAGGCAGACACAGCGGGTGGCACATACAGACACAACGGGTGGCACATACCGACACAGCGGGTGGCACATACAGACACTGCGGGTGGCACATACAGACACAGCGGGTGGCACATACAGACACAGCGGGCGGCACATACAAAGTGGACAGCACACATAGAAAAGCCGGCACAGACAGAGGGGGTGGCACAGATAGAGGGGGTGGCACAGACAGAGGGGAAAATTGACTGACGGAATGATGGGGCACGCAGAAGAAGTATCACCGCACACAGCTAGGAAGAATCGGCACAACGAGTTGCAATAGTGAGTCGACACGTGGTGAGAGCACAAGCAGAGGATGTGTGAGGGTAGTGGGAGGGCACTGGGCGGGCAGTGGGCGGGCAGTGGGCGGGCAGTGGGCGGGCACGTACGGAGCGGCGAGGCGAATGAAGATCTCATCAGCGCCCGGGATGTGCACCTGGTTGACGGGGTTCAGCCCCGCCCCCACGAAGAACAGCACCAGCCCCTTGTGCGCATTGTGCATCTTGTCCGGCGCCTGAGGGGGGGGGGGGGGGAGAGAGGGGAGGAGAAGTGGCGGGAGGGAGGGGCGAATGAAAATCTTGTCAGTCCCGCTCCTACGAAGAACAGCACAGCCCCTTGTGCGCGTTGTGCATCTTGTCCGGCGCCTGGTGGGGGGGAAGGGAGGGGCAATGGAGGCAAGCAGTGAACCCTGTAAAACAAGGCATGGTTGCAACGAGCAGCAAGTACAGTACGAATTCCGCATCTTCTTAGGAGGCAGCTCGGGAAAGGGGGGCAGCAAAGGCGTGCTATGGTGGCAGCCTGCAGGACAAGGCGAAGCGGAGCAGCTCAGAGCATTTCAAGCATGGAGACGAGGGCAGGCTCACACCCCAACACCACCTACCCTATGTCATGAGCACCAGCACCAGCACCAACACCATGCCATGCCATGACCAGTAGCTCAAGCAGCATTCCATGACACGAGCACGAGCACGAGCAACATGCCATAAGCACCAGCAACATGCCATGCCGTGCAATGAGCACCAGCCATGCTCGTACCACGAGCATCTAGAACCACCATACGAAGAAATTCCATGCCATGTCCTCCCATGCCATGCAACAGCGTATCTTGCCCAGCATGCCATGCCACACCATCAGCACCATGCCGCACACACACCACATGAGCACCATGCCGCACACATACATCATACACACCATGAGAATGAGCCAGTGCCACCACTTGTAACGGTTGGTAACAGTGCGGTTGAGCCACTGGTGCGTGTACACCTTGAGCACATACCCCGTCCACCACCCCCCTCCCTCTTTTGATCGCATGCGATTGCCCGTGTCCTCCCACCTGCCAGCAGCAGACCAGAAAATACGTGGGTAGCTATTAGGTAATTGCTACTTGAAGCAGGTGTAGAAAAGACTAGAGGCTCGCACGCATGATGGATGCAGCTACGGTTTACCCGTGTGCTCTGTCCTGCAGGCTGCGCGCCTGACGACGACTACAGGCCTCGACGCGTACGTGCGCGATATTGCAAACACTCGACCGTGCAGGGGACGCGTGTGTCGAGTAAACTACTCTCGAGCGGTCCCTTCATTGATAGGCTTTCAGTCATTTGCACGAGAGGCTCCTTCTAGAAAAATCTACGGCGTTGACGGATGCAATCGACGACGGTGCTCATGAGTCCACGTAGGTCAATGCAAGTCAATCCAGGTCAACGTGAGTCAATGCACGTCAATGTACGTGAATGCTCACCTGAATTCCGGATCCGCGGTATAAACATATCGGTCCATGACTGTGCCATGGCAATTTCTAGCAGTTTCGCACCCGCTCTGAGGGAATGCGGACGGATGGAAGCTCGCGGGTTTTCCGGTAAAAAGGCTACCAGATCGGAGCAATAAGAAGGACGTCAAATAGGCCACGACGAGGAGAACGATTAAGACTAGAACCCGGCCGATCGTAACTTGAGACCTAAAAATGACTTGAAGAGTTCTGGCCAATCGATAAGACCCGGAGGAGTGGAATCGCGTCATTATGAGCGAGGTGCTAACACAACTGGGAAAAATGAAGATCCCGAATCATCAAGGTGATGACTTCAAAAACAAATAAAAATTTATCTATTTGAACTAACTTAAACGTGCGGGGATAGCTCAGTTGGGAGAGCGTCAGACTGAAGATCTGAAGGTCGCGTGTTCGATCCACGCTCACCGCATGCGACGCTCTTTTGCGTGGAGGCCAGCCACTTCGGTTGGTCTTACGGCATAATTTTGTGGCCAGCCCCTTGGATTGGTCTTATGGTAGTTTCTAGGGTAGAATTTTGTGTCTCGGCCAGCCCCCTGGATTGGTCTTAGGGTTGAATGCACCCCTCATAATTTTTTTTAATTGGGGTGTTTGGAACCCTTACACAAACATATGAAGGGTTCAGATTTCAACCATGATGATGTGGAATGATCTAAATCGTCTATAGGGTATACCTTGGCGGACGAAAAGCGCCGCCCATGTTCGCGGTTGCGAAATGACAGAGCCCCCCCTCAATCCTGTCGAACTCCCGTTGAACTCCGTGTGGCAAACTGGCTGTGCTCCGGGCACGAGTGCCCTCAAGATTGTCGACGGGCGGTCGACCTTGAGGTTCGCAGAGACAAATCCGAGAAGTATATCTCAGCGCGTGTCAATTCCCAGCTCGATACGTCGGGTCAGGAATTCTGCCACGCGGCCCCAAGGGGACAACCTAGATCGTCCCCGAGATCGTAGGACCATCGTGGGCTGCCACGATGGCCACGATGGCCACGATGGCCACGACGGAGCCACTCGTCTTGACAGGTCGAGGTGTTAAAGTAGGAAGGCAGGAATGATGAATGACTAGCAACAGGGGGATACAAGTATAGGGGTTGTACCCTATACTGAGCACCTCACTGTAGCCTAGCAGAACTAAGAACATACAAATATGTTTTGACACACCCCTCTAGGCAAAGTGAGGGATAGCCAACACAACAAACGGTCACAAGACTAGTCAGGCAAGAGAACAAAGCAATGCAAAGCCCAGAGTGGATATCAATATCACCACTCATTCTAAGCACAAGCAAGCGGCAACAAGGCCAGTTCACATGCAGAGTTATACTTGCAAGGTAGTACACTGATTACAACCTAGCAAAAGTAGACATACAGGTACAAATATAGATATCAATGTACAACAAGTGCAAGATCAAGAGACAAGCAGGTGAGGCAGAACGAGCAGAAGCCCTAGAGCAGTGCAAAAATGCTGATGATCACCAGACCCGAGGGCTTTGGTGAAGACATCAGCAGTGTTGGCCCGAGAGGTCACGTAGGAAGTGCGAAGCTTGTGGAAAGTCATTCTACATCCGTAGTGAGCTAGACTACGGGGGTTGGCACGTTCCTTAGTGCTTGCGCATCGGCAAGAGTTTTCACTAGCAAAGTCGAAATTACAGAATCGTTGAACACGCAATAACGGAAATTATCACATTAGGCACCTAGCAACTTTGCAGCTAGCGTGTTTGACCGCCTACCAGCGTTGCATAGAGGAGCCGCGCCAGCACTACAGAAGAGCGACCTGCCAACGCAGCAGGTCGACGGCGTGCAAACGCTGCAACAGAGCAGCTGTCCAAAGTTGCATCCATAGAGCACAGCAGTACGCACGCTCGCAGGTGTGCGCAGACGATTGGCCCGACTTGCATCGTTGTGCATCCGTCGGCTGTTGTCTACGCCTGATGAACCACATCGACTTCGGGATACCAGCCTGAAGTCGCCTTCGCCATCGCAACCTCGACGACGTTTGCGTGCCTCTGCAGAACTCGCCGAGCAGGTTACCTGGTTGACCTGGTCGACCACTAGGTGCTCTGGTCCACCACCGGTGCCTCTTATTGACCACCACGTGCCTGTGGTCGACCACCAAGTGCCCCTAGTCGACCACAGCTCCCGTCGAGCTACCCCCTGGTCGACGGACCCCTCCGTCGACCAGAACTGTCAGCTGTTGTCGCCGAGCTCCCCTTGTCGACCGCTGCTCACATGTCAGGTCGACGGACTGCTCCGTCGACCTCCGAGTTGAACCGCTCCTCCTAGTCGACGGCCCACCCGTCACCCAACCCAGTCAACTACAGCTGTCGAGCTCCTTGGTCGACAGCAACACTACAGCGGTTCTCTCCAGCTCGATGAAGCCCGTCAAGCAGCTCTTCCACTTTGAACGGTCGGCTGCTTAACCCGTACATCCGACCAAGTCGTCGGCGTTGCCCAAGCGAGGGCAGGGATAATACTTCACTCCCGTTAACACTCTTTTGCCGTGCTCATGCTTGGGCCTCTAGCCCACACGGCAGGACTCCATGGAGAAAACTCGTCCTTGGCGTGCACCCCACACACAGCACGCCGTCACCGCACCAGCTGTACAGAAGGGCACGGCACCTACTGCTGCACATCATTGTCGCCGTTGCAGACGTCAGCCAGACGAACTTGGCTGATGGTGACAGAGCACCAGCTGAAAGCTGGAAAATGCAGCGCCTTCGTCAGGAAGTCTGCCGGCTGCTCGATGGTCGGGATGTACATCAGCACGAACTTCCCGCGCCTCACCATGTGCTGCAGCCAGGCGTAGCGTCGCTCCATGTGCTTGAGGTTATCTTGCAGCCCCAATCCTTCAACGAACGTGATTGCCGACTTGTTGTCCACGAGAAGGATGGTCGGCTTCCCCGCGTCGAGCAGCTTGAAATCTACAAGGAGGAAGCAAAGTCGACGCCCTTCCTTGCCGGCATCTGTGGCCACGACGTACTCCAACTCAGTCGAGGAGGGTGTTGCGCACTTGATGCGCTGGCTCAACCAAGAGACCGCGACCACTCCGAAGACGAACACGTAGCCGCCCGTGCTCATCCGGTTCTGCTTGTCGCTCACGTCGTCGGCGTCTACGAAGCCGATCAGCTCCAGCGACTCTGGTCCACCGCCGAACTCCAGGGTGGTCTCGCGGGTGTCGGCGAGGTAGAGAGGCAGCGGTCGACCTCGCGCCAGTGCTGGTCGCTGCTCCCCAGCTTGCTGCAGGCGAAGGCGGTGTCCGGCCTCGTCGTCGTCACCACAAACTGCAGCGAGCCAACCTTCTGCCGGTACTCCTCCTCCTCGCGCTTCTGTGCCTCCTCGTCGTCGAATGTCAGCTCGGCGTAGGCGTCGACCGGGACCGGCGTCTTTGGGATGAGCCCGCCTTCCTCCTCGTCGATGAAGGGCCTGCACAGCTTGTCGGCATAGTTCTGTTGGTGCAGCAACAGCTTCCTTGCTGGCCTGTCACGCACGATCTCCAGCCCAAGGTACTTCACGACCGGCGAGATCTTGCATAACTCAAAGGCGGCCTCCGGCAGTTCCTTCAGCTCTTTCAGCATCGCAGTGCTGCTGCTGGCGGCGAGCAAGTCGTAGAAGTCATATGTGTCTTATCTTATATAGGCTTGAAATCGGCCACTGTATCTCCCGCACTGCTGCCAACTGGGTTACCGATGTCGATGTCGTCGTCGATGCCACAGTCGTTGTTCACCGGTCGAGGAGAAACAGCTCGGAAAGGGTGTACCATCGCCCACTTAGCGCAGATGCCCAGCTCGATGACATCCAAGGGGAAGATCGGCCCGAACTCGCCAGCCTTGTGGCATCTCCTAGCATCAGTCCAACGTGTCTCCGGACTATCCTCTACCGCGCCGGGAACTACTGGGACGGGTGTCATTGTCACACGTGCTGTCGGCCTACGAACGACTTTATAGGTGAAAAATTCGGCTCCTATCAGTAGGTAGATTGCGGTGCTGTCCACGCTCACTGCACCATGCGAAGATAACTATTACAACGGGAGCTATACTACGAGGAAGGCACGGTGGTGGGAGTGATCGTAGCGTTTCCTTAGTGTTCTGTATCAATTGTGCGTTCACAGGGCAAAACCACAAGAGTTTCATTAGCAAAAATTGATAACAATGGTCAACACTTTCAAAGCAACACTAACGACATTAGGATCTAGCATGCAAGCAGGTCGACTGCCAGCGCAGCACGGTCGACCGTTCCAGCACTGCAAGGTCGACCGTGGGCAGGGCAAAGTGGCGGCGTGCCAATGTTGCACGTCGACGGTGTACCAACGCTACAATAAGGCAGCTGCAAAGCGTTGCATCCACATGATAGCAGTGCACCCGTTGCACAGGTGCTCGCGGTTGGTTGGCGTGTTGTGCCCCGTCAGAACAGCGCTGACGCCAAGTCGTCCACGCGCTGTTGACTGCACCTGGTCAGCCAAGTTTTTGTTAAAACCAACCCAGCGACCGTTGCACACCTCCGCAGAACTCTAACGCCTAGTAACCTGGTTGACTGGGCAGCCACGTAGACGAGGTGCTACACCGTGTGCCCGATGACAGCCCAGGTCGACAACCACATGCTGCCGACTTCACCAAGTTGGCTATCCTAGGCCGGCGTTCACGGGTCGACACCTTCCATCTCGGCGTCCCCAAGTCGACGCCTCCCAACTCGGCGCCACCAAGTTAGCGCCTCCCAGTTCAGCACCACCAAGTCGGCGCCTCCTGTTAGTCGACGGGCCCTATCGCCGACCACACAATGAAGTCAGCCGCCGGCTTTCCAAGGTCGGCGGCTTCGCAGTGGCCCGTGCAGGTCAACCAAGTTGGTCGACCTACGTGCCTAAGTCGGCGCCGCCCACTGCTGCTGTTTGGCTGCACCTCCCGTAGGCCCGACCACGAAGGCGGCTCCGAACAAGGAGGTGTTATCGGGCAGGGAGGTGGGGGTTTGTTCATAGACACATAAACTACAGGCCATGAACAAACTT